GACTATGGGCGAAAGTAGCATTGCTAAAGTAAGTTTTGGTGTGCAGATGACCTTGTCCGTCATAATGCGATATTGGGCGTTGCTAATATTACCCTGTGTTGCGTTTTCCCTGTGCACGCGCGTGTGTGTGCATGTGTGTGTGCATGTGTGTGTGGGGGGGGGGTGCGTGCTTGCGTGTGTGTTGCACAGGGAGCTGTGCTACATTCTCATGCATCCAGAGAAGGTACACACTCTCCTACCCAACCTGAACATCGATAGCTATGTTCGCACTCAGGTACGAAGTATTTATGTAAAGTAACCAATCATTTATTTATATTAACGGCGAGGCGACAATAGTTTTTAATAAAAGAACTGCGATCAGCAGAACTTTTTTACTTCTTCATTCTTTTTCACCTCCTTTGTATCCAGTTGTTTTGAATATAATATAGCCTTTGTGAAATATCGGCTCAGCTCGTTCTGTTGGTCGCAGTTCTTGAACAATCAAATATTATTTTTACATGTATTACATGCTTGCTGTTGACACAGGTCTTAATTTAGGGTCTTTCTACTGCTCGTGATGTGATAATATGTGACGCTTTGATCGAGCCTTTTGCCATGCTTTTCCGTGTGTTTGTCTGTATTTGTTATTCTGCTTGACTCGTTTGTGCGTGATTGTTCTGAAAATGTACATGAAGGACGGCAACTTGACAGACGTGTCACGCACTACTGCAGTACAGGCAGTTGTTGGATGCTTGGTGGACACCAAGGTATGTCTCTCTGTCTGTCTGTCTGTCTGTCTGTATGTCTGTCTGTCTGATTGCAGTTGGAAGGTTCCCCTGTTCAATTTTTCCAATGCTTGTGCTACTGTTTCCTCTGCGACAAGAATGCGATAATTCTCAGAAAAAGGACACACTTCAGGCTCTTTAGGAACATGATACATCTTGAAAGTTTTCGGTTTCACAAGTACTAGTATACTTGCAAGCCTTCTCGTCAGGTGAAATACAGGCAAAGAGAAAGGAACAAGAACAGTGGATCAAGTACAGTAAGGGGGTGATAAACAGTGCAAAGAAGAAGATAGCTAAAACCAACACAACGAAAATGCGTGACCTATACACATAGAGATGATGACACAAAGGTGCAAGTGCGAGAAAACCAAACAAGCGTGATGTGTGGTGCGAGAACAATAGACAACCAATAGATAAAACTAACGAGTTTTTCACGACCTACCTAACAACCTAAGTGTGAATTATTTGCTTTTGTTTACAAAGGTTGGATTTCGGAATGTTTGGAAGCTGTGTACCGGTATATTATTCACACAAAGGAAACTTTCAAGATGTTCCTAAAGTTTACTAAAGAGCCTGAAGTGTGTCCTTTTTCTGAGTATTATCGCTTGTGCTACTCCAGGCATTTGCCCGGGGACGGGGACGTTTGGCTCTGCAGTGTTTGTGTGGTGGACTGGTGGTGTGCTGTGCCACCCTTACATGTACTCAGGGACTTTCCCGTGCTTGATTATCCATGTTTGTGTTGTGTGACTTGACGTGACAGGGAAGACAGGCCAGTATCCAGTGCGTCCGGGACAACATGGTGGAGTTGGACGTCAGCGAGTGTCATCGTCTCATCAAGCTCAACCATCCCAAACTCTGCTTGATGCAAGCGTTGCAGCGCAAGGGACTGCCGCCTCCCGTGCTTCGGTGAGGCTTGTTTGCACGGCAGTCTGTTTGCGCTGATTATCTTGTAGCGGCTTTGTGTTTACCTGCTTCGCATGTCCAAGTCGCTCTCCTGTCCTCGCTTGCTCTCTCTCTCTCTCTCTCTCTCTCTCTCTCTCTCTCTCTCTCTCTCTCTCCCTCTCTCTTGTTATCCGGTTCACTTCTTGCTGAGGCCAAATACCCCCTGGCAGAAGAGCGTAAAGGAAAATGTGTATTTGAGAAAACTACATTTGTGCTGAACGAATCCCCGTCCCTCTTTGGGACAGCGCTCTTTATTAGCACCTGCCTATCTCTTAATTTGCTGGCCAAAAATCCTATATATAGGATTTGAAAATGTGTGCCTTTTATGCCGTTGTTATTGTTCATCACGACCAATAATAACGGCATAATAGTTTTCATGGAAGTTGTAAATATGTTTGAGGCATGAATGTTTACATTTTAGATTCATAGGGCGATAATATTTCTGATGAATACCTATTTTCAGCAATAATTGGAAATTTGAGCATAATTGTTCAGCTGCTGTCATGGAAAGGACTGAAGCAGTGAATGTGCAGAAGAACATTGCAGGTGTGGCACGGGGTGGTTTCTTGACGACATATCGCACATGCCGTCATGAAACTACCAGTTTTAAGGATAAAACAAGGTCCAATAAAATCTCGAATCCTATATATAGGAATCGTAAAATAGGGCACAGGCCTTAGTAATATTGGGCAAGGAGATGAGCCTGAGATGTTAGTGTTTGAAAAAATTATCTTATTCAACTCTCGGTATCTACTAAGACCTAGCAAGGAAGAATTGGTCACATACTTTTGCTATTCTCATGCCACACCCATTTTGAGTTGAAAAATATGACCAAAATCCTGTATATAGGATTTAGCAAATTAAGAGATTGCACCTACATCTTTACACAGCTCTTTCCAATGGATTTTCTCACATGCCATGGACTCCCCTGGCTTATCCGCTTATCGGCCATCATCGTTATTGGCGATTTGTTAAACCCAGGGTGTTTGTCCACTGGTTGACTGTATGCATACTTGTAAAACTGATCTTTTGATTCAAATATTGTGTGCATTGTGTACATGTCAATGGGCGGCAGGTTCTCAAAGCCACCTGCAACTCTTAGCATATTACCCATTTTGAATGATTGCACTCCAAGCATTGCCTCCGCCTTGATGGTAACGTAATGTGTGTGTGTCTGCGTGTCTGTGTCTGTGTGTGTCTGCGTGTGTGTGTGTGTCTGTGTGTGTATGTGCATGCGTGTATGTGTGTGTGTGCGTGCATGCACGTCTTTGTGTGTGTCCTTCCTTCCTCCATCCCTGGCACACATGTGTGCCTGTGTGTATACAGTGTTACCGGTGGCCAGTCGGACACCGTCCTCACTCACATTGTCTCCGGAGATCGGGTACTCGCTGAAGGTGAGTCCGCCATTCTGGCCAGCAACATAGTGGGAGCATTGGGCATGAGCTGCCTTGTATGGGTGCATTGGGCATGAGCTGCCTTGTACTCTTTTTTAGAGCAAGGTCAATCCCACTGCATGGCGGCTGACCGCCACTCCTAGCGACTTTGCACGTGGCCAGAAGAAACACGACCAATGAGGGTTAGCCGGAACATTTTCTTGTCGCTTCTTGGACTTCATTAGAATTTGTGCGTTAAAATCATGATGACAGCACAGCTCGTAGTATTGACAGATATGATTAGCTTATTATCTGCATTCCGCTGATTCGCAGAAGAGAGAGTGCTTGGAAGTGGTAGAATTTTTCCAGCCATACTGCCACCCATAGTTTTAAAATTGGGAATTTGTGTCCTGGCATGAGGGAAACATGGATGCAGCGAATGTGATTTTCAGTCTTCTTGATTCTTAAATGTGGTGCCTGCGATTCTTGAGGGTGGTGGCGTTCCTGGCCTCGTTTCAACATGGAGTGAATGCGGTGATGAGTGGATGAGGTCATGAGTGGATGAACCGTCCGACCCACACCGGTCATCTCGTATTCCCACTGGTACATGTACGGACTGAGGCTGCTGTCACTGCGGATAGCATACCATGTTTTTACAAACTACTCATGTTTTTGTTTGCCCTGTATTGCCGTTTGATAGTGCCGACGTCCATGTCAGTGTCGCAAGATCAACAACATCACATTGTACGTAACTGTTATTGCTTACTGGCTTTTGTCACTGTGTGTGTGTGTGTGTGTGTGTGTGTGTGTGTGTGTGTGCGTGCGTGCGTGAGTGTGTGTGTGTGTGTGTGTGTGTGTGTGTGTGTGCCCATATGGTGCAGTGGTATGTGCAGCGATTTCCAATCGATAGATTGCGGGTTCGATTCCCGACGATTATGGTCACACACGTCTTTCTTCTCTTTCTCAGACTCTTCCTGACTTTTCTTTCATTCTCCTGGGTGGTTACCAACAGCCAGTGCATGCCGGAGTATGTGGTGTGATGTGTGTGCGGGAAAAAAAATGAAAAAAGACCAAAAATAGGGATTCACTGGCCAGAAAATGTCACTCCAAATAGCTGTATGGTGTAGACCAGGCTGAATAGTGACGGTCAATTCTTCAGCCTTGCAAGCTGTTGAATGGTGTAATCCCAGCACAAGTTGCTATGGCTTCTGCCGTAGCTTTGCTATCATCGCCTCCGGCGATGGGCGTCAAAGGTCAGGTGTGTGTGTGTGTGTGTGTGTGTGTGTGTGTGTGTGTGTGCGTGTGCGTGTATGGTAGACTTGAGATAAGGGTGTGTATGGGGTGTGCCCCCCCCCCCCCCCCCCTCATTGTCAACCAGCAACCCGGCTGCAACCCCTCCTAATCACCCTGTAATTTAGTTCCAGAGAAAAAAATATTGTAACTGTTCCCTTCCTCTTCGTCACACTCTAGACAGTGAAGAGCTGGAAAGGTACAAGTTGTTATGGGAACTATGCCTAACTGTGTGTGTCTGTATGTTTCTGTGTCCATGTGTGTGTGTGTGTGTCTGTGTTTGCGTGTGTGTATGTTTTGTGTCTGTGTTTGTGTGCTTATCTGTATCTGTGTGTGTATATCTGTACGTGTTTGTGTGTGTGCATGGTGTCCGTATGTCCATGCGTGCGTGTGTGTGTGTGTGTATATGTGTGTTCTTGCACTTGGAAACACCCTCTTCACGTAGGCATGTCAACGAGCTCTTGTCGATCACTTTCAGCGTGAGCTTGCCGACCTGCCAGTCCCGCACTCGAGTACGGAATCGTCGGAGGATCTCCAGTTCCGCAAGGAGAATGAGCTCAACCTTGCTTACGAAGGCGAGAAGTCTGACTACACTGAACCCGGCTGGAAAGCAAGCGCATGAAACCCTAGTCATTACAACCCCAACACTATGAGCTGATAAGATAGAATTTCAACAGTATGTGCTGACGATGATGGATGTGTACTAGTAAGGTCTGGAAATTTGGCTTTTTTGGGGGGGGGGGGTGCGTGTGTTGGTGTGTGTGTGTGGGGGGGGGGGGGGTATGGGTGTGAGAGTGCGTGTATGTTTCGTGCTGGAGACCTGTGTATATGGAATAAGACCTAGGCCAGGGTGGCATGTTCGCATATCTGCATGACTGGCTGACATCAGCCTCATCAAGTGCGTTTTAACGTACTTTTTTTGTCTGCCAGGGCAGAACTAGAGTTTATGCGGCCAAACCTTGGAGATTGGTTAGGTACTCGAACGAATCAAGTGAAACCGGACGTGCTGGTATGAAAGATTGCGGGTGTAGAGTGCAGGGCTTTATGCAAGCAGGTTATGTAATGAAGGCAGCACGCATGCACTGGTGGATAAGCACAGTTGAATACTCTTGTGTGTTTGGGCTCTTGCATGGATGTAGTGACTGGTATTGCCACTATTGGAGATGATTGCATGAACCTTGAGTAAGAACCCACGAGCACGCATGCACTCACACGACCTCTCCTATCACCTGCATACTCGTGAGCTTCTTCCTTTGCTGTATACAGTAGAGTGCCGATTGTCTGCACCCCTCTGGACGCGGGGTTGTCTCCAGGGTGTTGGGATGATGAGTATGGTCTGATAAGGGAGCAGGTACACGTCCATCTAAACCATTCACATTCCCTCGTGTTTTCATTCTCTTTGGCAGTACCACAGGAATTAGACACAGTCCAGCTCCTTCACATGACACCATTGGGACAATCATATAATCTGACGCCAACCTGTTGCCACGCCATACACCCTTTGCACCATATTCACCATTTTCAATAGTGCACAGGGTGAGGAAATCAGTAAAAAGTCCTAAAAGCTCATTTTCGTCCCTCCATTCAGTGCAAACAGTGATTTCGGATACAGTAGTTGACGTTCGGATAATCAGCATGTGTTCTACCAAGAGTACATAACCCCTGGGGGTTATGTACTCTTGGTTCTGCTGTATATGCTCTAGGGTGTGCACGGGTAGTCGGGTACCCGTGCTTCCCTGTGGGGACCTCGGGTAGTCGGGTACAGAATAGTACCCGAAAACCTGAAGTCGCAGACGACATCATGTGCAGTGCATGTGTACAAATTCATGTGATACCCCGCATGTCCACCCAGTGTGTAAGGGAAGGGGTGCAGTGTGGTATTGCCATGGAAACTTTACCCGATCGGGTACCCGTGGAAACCTACCCGACCCCGATACCCGAAGAAAACGCTACCCGACTCAGCACTAATATGCTCAAGAGTATAACCCCGGGAGTGTGACTGCTGTCCCGGCAGAATTTCAAGTTGATGTCAGTAATTCTCATGATTCAATGCTCCTCCCAGGAGTTATTATTATTTTCCAATTGTTGTATGGGTTGTCAACGCATTTTATGCATCACAGGCAGGGAGTCGTCAAAATTAATACAATGCTATTGACGACTCCCTGGTCACAGGTGTTTCGTGGAATTTATAATGATTATGTACAGCACTGGAGAAAATGGAGATTGGGTGGTCACACGTAGATCTACTCTTGATATGGCTCAGCTTGCCAGAGATGCTGCATGTGACCAGAAACCATGCAACACTGCATCTGATTCAGGACACCCTGTATCCATAACTCCAGTAGCCATAACTGTATTTGCAGCAAAACTCCCCAGATCCGGACGTCCGTAATCCGGGCACCTTTCTGACCTATCTAGAGTCATAAAAATGGCTTTCAACGAAAAACGGCCCCAAAACAATCATATTGATTGGTATGAAGTTTATTTATTTTATTAATAATAATTTACTCTTCTCTTGCATGCAGTAAATAACGTAAAGTCTTGTATAAATGCCGCACTTGAATAGAAGCCGCCCTTGAACAGAAGCCGCAATTTTGGGCCCATCAAATCACACACAAGCCTGGTTTTAGTGTTGACATACAAGAAAGTCATAGAAGCCGCGGCTTTTATACAAGACTTTACGGTATGTAAGTTGTGAGCTACGGGCAATTCGGCATTTATTCCTAGTTACGGGCAGTGGTCGGTCCCAACCTGCACGGATCTGGGCAGGTTTACTGTATTCCCTTCGGACCGGGCAGTACCAAAGTTGTTTTAGTACTCCTTGCTTCAAACTACTATGCAAACAGTATACGAGTACGGTACACGTAACTTGCTATTGTACGTGTATAGTGTGGAACAGCATGGGTACCGGACACTATCGGGTATTTTTGGACATAGTTTTCAATTTTATTTATTTGTGCAGTGAGCGTGCACTTGCGCTACATAGAAAGTGTACAGTAAGCACAAAGCCGTGCTTGTTTTTTTTTTACATGCATCGTCGCGAAAACACCATACTCTAACTAGCCGATCGAGTTCTCAGGAGCAAACTGCTACCTGAATACTTACCCGCTCTAATGTCGGGTAGCACACATGCCCTATTACCCATTGACACCCCGATCATAAACATACACTATCTCATACACCACACCACCACACAATGGCCGGGTCATCGCTACTTCTTCTCAAATACACTATCTTGTGCCATCAAAGATATCGTGCATTCTAACTTTTGAGGTATCTCTTGAGCGAAATGTTCTCACACAGATAGCAGGTACATTCTATTATGTGCAAGTAGTACACAAGATGAATTCAGGTGGAAAGTAGCGGTGAACATCGTTCTGTCAAATACATACTTTTCCTGTAGGTACGTGCAATCTGATAAAAAATACACAGGCTCTGCAGACATGAAGCTGTGTGTTGTCGTGACCACTTTAAAAGTTCCATGCAGACGTGGCATAGAATGCAGCAGTCACAAACACCGCTCGCAGACAGTGCCGTGAAGTGCCGTGCACAGCGGGGCCAGACACTGATACAGCAGTGCATGCAGGCAGGCATGGAAGCTGGTGAGCAGATGTAATACAATTCGCTGCAGCGTGCCTGGCGTCCGTCTGCATGCTTGTCTAGGATGTGCGTAAAGCACCCGCACCAATACCGAAGCCGCAACCTTTTGGGCCAAACTCCTTAGCATGGCAACCTGGAACGGAATACAGGTGGAGAGAGAGAGAGAGAGAGAGAGAGAGAGAGAGAGAGAGAGAGAGAGAGACAGACAGACAAAGAGAGTTATGATAGACCTAAATTTACAGACACCATACACCCACAGTGGAGTAACAGTGGAGGTAAGAACAAGCAATGCGCTCTACTACAGTGATGGCAACTGAAATCCGACCCCGGGAGTGGTGTGCTCGCACTGCACCAACATGGCACCCTACCACACCAGCCTCAAAGCAGGGTCAGTGCGGTAGTACATAGCCATACGCAGAACCACAAATTAAATGCCAGAAAAGTGATCTTCACGCTTTGCTAGCACACTACTTGCTAGGGTTTGTTTTAGCTCCACAGCACTCGTGCGTATAAAATCCAGGGGTCGGATTTCAGTTTGAACCACTGTCCATTAGTGAAACAAAGGAGATTGTGCACATTTCAGCAACACAATACCGTGCGTTGCTCAGCCGTGTGTTCAAACTACAGTAGGATATTAGCATGCACAGTCTCATACCTTTGCAATAGACTTCCTCCTCGTGTTCAGCGTGGCTGCCCGACTCGAGGTTACGCTTACATGTCTTACAGCGGAAACAAGCACGGTGGTAGTCCTGCACCGATACATGGTGCAGAGAGAGAGAGAGAGAGAGAGAGAGAGAGAGAGAGAGAGAGAGAGAGTGAGAGAGAGAGTGAGAGAAGAGAGAGAGAGAGGGAGAGAGAGGGAGAGGGAGAGGGAGAAGAAAGAGAGAGAGAGAGAGAGAGAGAGAGAGAGAGAGAGAGAGAGAGAGAGAGAGACTCAGTACATCACAATGCAGGGACCAGCAACATTACAGAAGCAGATACACCCCAACATCTACAGGCAACAGTACATGTAGGCACGAGAGGCTGACAGCTCAAAGACCATAATTGTTAACTATGATAAGACACCGAACGGGCAAGCATACGGGTCGATGCTGAGCAGTCTTCACATTAGATGTAACCAACAAGAGCCACGGAAGTGGTTGTGATGGGATGGGAGACAGTAGATTTCTCTATCAACACTGGAGACTCACCCTTCCTGTGACAACTATTCTCTCAGCATGATAGACGCTCAGGTCACAGCGTGGGCATTTGGTGGCTGTCGATCCAAACCTGTTGCCAAGTGCATTCTGCTTAGACTGTGCCTTCTGTGCTCGAGTGCCTGCCGCCATCACACACACGCACACACACACACACGCACACACACACACATAATTATAACTTACAAGCATTAATGAAAGTTGACAATGCACAGGAGATTCAACAGCTCTGTGGTGAATGATTAACAAGTCCGCCAGTCTAAAATAAACATGTACACATATAAGGATGAATGATTAGCCACCGGCCACAAGAAAACATAGGATTTACCGCCACAAGAGCATATTGCTTGTACTTCAAGACCGCTCATATCAACGGACATTTAAATTTAACCACTTATCATCATCTTAACCATGTGACTTCTTCTATTTTATTATCTGCAAAAACCATGTATACATATGTGTAGTCGTTGGCCGGTTTTGACACAGATTTCGTGGAAATCTCATGTCAACAACCAACAAAAATCCGCGACTGCCAAGACGCAGTGTACGAACATGGTTTAAATTGCACAATCTACGGCTGCAACATGTATCGATGCAGTACGATGTGAATTCCCCCCCCCCCCCCCCCCCCCCCCCGCAAGAGAACATCTGCCTCAACCGATGGTCGTCCACATTGACATAAGTACCCCCCCCCCCCCCCCAACAGAGAGAGAGAGAGAGAGAGAGAGAGAGAGAGAGAGAGAGAGAGAGAGAGAGAGAGAGAGAGAGAGAACACACACACACACACAGTGCCAGCATACATACATACATACATGGCTAGACTGTCGCTACTGGGTCCGTAGTTTGAGCACCACCGGCAGTGGGTGGAAGGTATCGACAGCGTAGCGTATCATGACGTGAACAGTAGGAACACTGAGCGTTATCAACAGAATGCCACACAGGGCAAACGCAACAAAGGCCCACACGTGTAATGGCTGGCCCATGTAGAGCTTCTCCAGAACCAGATTGAACGCGACTGGTTGCGCGAGTAGTTCCGGGTCCCGCGCCACGCCAGTACGCCACGCAGTCACGCGCGCGTAGACGCCATTCCCCTCGCCGTTCCTGGGCAGCGAGTCGGGAGAGAAGCGCATCTGCTCCACATTCATCAGGGCACGCTGCGGCCTCACAACGGTCTGGTGCAGCTGGAGTCCAGCAAACACATCCACCACAAACTCCGTGGGCGTCGTAGCCGGGTAGGAGATCCGGATCGTGTATGAACGCTGCTTGTCTAAGCCAACCAGTCGAAGCGCCAAGGATTTCCCGTGACCCAGCTGCAAGTTGTGCAGAGTCTCTCCGGAGTGGATCTCCAGAAATTCACCGTCATGCTTGCCGACTGATACCGCCATCGAGCTGTCCGCCATTTGCGAGCAGATCGCCACCAACAAGATAGCATACGATACAAGACGACGACTGCAGCTGCACAGGAATTCGTACTGATACACGCTGGAAGTCATTGTACAGGTATGGTCGACAGACGGAACACAAGAAGCCAGCAGTTGGTACACAGTAGAACGAGTTCGGCAGCTACCGGCGAACCCTACACAAAGAGAGACGGGATGAAAGCAAGGGACGGACGAGATGAACAAGGTACCAGTTGTCTCCGCCGCTCACCCGCACTACATAAACTTCTACAGTGATTGTGGTTTGGAGAATGAATGATCTTGCACACCTTTCCTATAAATTTAATTTTTGTACATAAATACGTAGTGGAGTCCAATGAAAGTCAGTTCGGAAAATAGTCGTCAACAAAACTTGAAGGAGGTAGTGTCTTGTAGCTACAAAACATCAAGAAGGTATCCTTCCTCCAGTCCTCCAGTCTGTAAGAGCAGGCCTTGGTCAAACTGACGAGTACATGTGTTCAAAGAAGTTGGTGCACTTTTTCTTTTCTTTTTTACTTCAGTTCGAATCGGCTTTCTTTTTTCGAAGCTAGCTGGCTTCAACTCGCCATCGCGCTCTGATGCAACTCCCGGTTGGCTTCATGTTACTATGGTACCAGGAAATGGCGTCAGACGCGAGAGAAGAATGCAAAAAACAGATTTCCTTGTTATGTTGTTTGATTTGATCAGGGAGTCGTTGCTTTGCCAGTTTGGGGAATGTCATCAGAAATACAAACAGGGAAAGACCAGAAGACGGTGGATAAAGGTAGGATTAGGAAGCACGCATCTTCGTCTTGTTCCCTGCATGCAAGCGACCTGAAGTCTAGCAATTGCATCATCCCTGAAATTGTTATCTGCACGCGCGCACCGTAGTGTCACTGTACGATTTCTCATCCCTGTTGTGTTCGAAAATGGATCTTGTCGCTGATTACGGCTCGGACTCTGACGAGGATAGTACTTCTAGCAGTCCAATACCAAAGCAAGAACCTAGTTCTATCGTGAGTGCCACAGCAACCAGCAGCAGCAGCAAATCGTTGCTGGAATGCTCCGGGGCGTCGTCAAGTTCTGAGAGCGATGACCAGGATGACGACAGTCCAGCTGGCGGGGATACAACTGTTACTGTACACGTCAATGCCGCCGGTTCGCACGAGCCGACAAAAGCCGAGACGCACTCACCCCTCCCACTGCCCAACATCGCAGGGTTTGTGCCCAGCGGCGAGGCAGCCATATTTAAGCCGCCCTCAAGGGGTTTGTACGATAGCGTTGATGCATTGCCGGGTGTGAAGCGACGCAGGTCACATGACACTGATGGGCAGTCAATTGACAACCAGTATAATACGGGCTGCGAGCACAGTACGGAGGGTTTACACGAGGGCGAGGATGATGACTCGCGCAGGAAACGGCGGAAGAGGTACGGAGTCACGGATACCCTGCAGCCACCGCGTCGAGCCGTGCAGCCACTGCGTAATCAGATACACCGTGACCAGCCATGGTTGAAACGGAACAAGCGCTGATCTTGCCGCATAGCCATGATCAGCCATTGTTGAAGCGGGCCAAGCGCTGATCTTGCCACAGATACACCGAAATCGGCCATGGTTGAAGAGGAACAAGCGCTGATCTTGCCATGGTTGAAGCGGGACACACGGTGATCTTGCCAAACTGGTTTTCCCATTGCAGGACATGCCACCACACTGCTGCCTTATTAGAGTTCTTCCGATTTGCATCATCGCTGAAACTCCGGGTTGCTATTGCAGCTGTCAGTATAATTATCATGCTTAGAGACTGGTCAGCCGAATTTCTGAGCTAAACTACCCAACTCTCTACTGAAAACAGCAAAACCGAAGCTCCGGTAGAATAACAGTTCTCTACAGTTTTCTACTCTCGTGTTGCCTCTACCAGGTTGCCAAGGCAGCTGTCAGTATATCATCGTCATGGACACTGGTCGGCTGGATTTCTGCTTTTCCGTAATGCATTCTGCGCTGCAACAATCCTTGCTGCCGGCGTAACCATCTCCATCCCCGTTGCCATGAGCACTGCTAGTCACGAGGCCTGCCGAGCTACCCAAGTGATGGGTGAGCTAAACTACCCAGTTATCTACTGAAACACGTGCCGTGTTGCGCACCGAACTTGGAATTCCTGCGATCAGTGACTCTCTCACAGTCTCTGTCTCTCTGTCTCTCTGTGCTCTCTCTCTCTTCTCTCTCTCTCTCTCTCTCTCTCTCTCTCTCTCTCTCTCTCTCTCTCTCTCTCTCTCTCTCTCTCTCTCTCTCTCTCTCTCTTCTCTCTCTCTCTCTCTCTCTCTCTCTCTCTCTCTCTCTCTCTCTCTCTCTCTCTCTCTCTCTCTCTCTCTCTCTCTCTCTCTCTCTCTCTGTCTCTCTGTCTCTCTCTCTCTCTCTCTCTCTCTCTCTCTCTCTCTCTCTCTCTCTCTCTCTCTCTCTCTCTCTCTCTCTCTCTCACTCTCTCTCTCTCTCTCAGTCTGTGATATGATCGATGGAGTATATCAGTGCTATGCTACTACTCGCCCGTGTTAAAGCTATTCGAAGTGATGGCACAGCACTCCACGTTGGTGGAATTGGTGATCGGTGTGTGATGATACAACGCACACCCAGTATCTGACATTGTATGCTGGGTTCCGACTGCGGCAGCCCTGACGACTAGCCTTCGACCGGATGCCAGGACACGGTGAGTTTGCTGGTGCTGTCTTTACCAGTTGAGTGTGAGTGGCCTTTTTTTGCATACGCATCGTAGTGTGTGTGTGTGTGTGTACATGTGTGTGTGTGTACGTGTGTGTGTGTACGTGTGTGTGTGTGTGTACGTGTGTGTGTACATGGTGTGTGTGCTTGGGGGGGGGGGGCTTCTTCCTCTTTACTTACTTGTGCAAAGCGACTACGGCAGAGTCCGTTATTCTGCATGTACAGTTTTTGTTTTGTTCCGTCTGGTGACTACTGTGTGTATCAGTCATTCTTGTCTACACAGTTGACTGTTGCCACACTGGTCATACACAAAGTATTGTAGTGGTCAGAGCAAGTTCCCGGGTCGTCTGCCTCTCGCTGCCGTCTTCAAATATGTGGTACTATTGCATATGGCTCCTGTCAGGTGTGGTGGCTTCAAATTTGTGTTTTGTGTTTGCGTCTTTTCTGCTCGTTTAGGCCTGCCAAGGAGTACCAGTGTGTGCGACTAGTGATGTATCATGATGCCGCTGCCCCTGCGTGTTACGTGTGTGTTGTGCGTGGTGCTCTGCTGGTCCTCGTGTCACACAGCTACTTGTATCTATGATACTATTACTACTGCTGGATCACTGCTGACACATGCATGAACACACACACACACACTCTCTCTCTCTCTCTCTCTCTCTCTCTCTTTCTCCTTCTCACACACCCCTTCTGACTGGGTATGGGGTTTGGAAAGTGGATCGGGACAGTAGAGCAGCATTCAGACACCCGTCGTTGACTCCACTGCCTCCATCATTAGTAGCCGTAGCATCACTGCCACTGAAACAGAATGTGGAGGCTACGTCTTCATTTTCATCAGCAACAGCAGCGGGAACAGCGTGAATTTGCCCAGCAGCTATGCTGTTTCGTATTTTTTTCCCAGGTTGCCTTCGCAGCATGACAGTACAGAATGATAATATGCCCGGTCACCGAACTGGCCCTGCAGGGCTGGGCGCCTGTACTGGTTGGTTCCTGCCACCGGTGCTGGCTGCAGGTAGCATGCAAGTGTGTATTAGTGATGCCAAGTGGCGGCACGAGTATCAGCAAGAGTACATTATGTACTCTTGGTATCAGGCACTTTTTCTTTACAGTACGACCGTCGCTGTTCGCTCTTTTATAAAACATATTTTTAGTGTGATATCCATGTGTACATGATTGTGCAACATTGTTTTTTGAGTTTTGCCCATACAAGAGGCTTTTCTCATGCTAAAAAAAGTATTTTCCTGTTCATACTGCAGTCCGGCATGGCCAAAGAAAACCGATCCGGGAGTCAAAAATGAAGTAGCGCCGCGTTTCTGTTTGAATAACATTATGCACGGTCCTAAAATCCATCCGAGGGCCGCATGAGCATTGCTGTGTTGGCGCTGCTTTCGCCTCACGGGTCGGATTTCTTTGGCCACGACTGCAGTAGTAGGCTGCAGTAGTAGGCTGTAGTAGTAGGCTGTAGTAGTAGTAGGCTGTAGTAGTAGTAGGCTGTAGTAGTAGCAAGAGTATGTACTCTTGGTAGTAGGCTGGAGTAGTAGGCTGTAGTAGTAGGCTGTAGTAGTAGGCTGTAGTAGTAGGCTGTAGTAGTAGGCTGTAGTAGTAGGCTGTAGTATTTTGACAACTCACTAGCTGTAGTCTAGTAGTAGACTGTAGTCTTTGTCAAGTTGATACAAAAATCATGTACAATTAAGAGGATACCGCCTGATATTCGCGTCACTAAATTTTCTCGATTTCTTAGAACCAGCGAGTTTGCGATGGCAAAATTTCGCGAAGCACTGTGGCCACCTATATACAGCCACTGTTGAATTTTGATTTCACGATGGTTGATATTCGCGTTACGCTCTTTTCGCGAAAATAGCGAACATTAATCCGTCGTGAATATCAGGCAGTTTGCAGTATTATAACCTCCCAAGAGTGTGCAACTCTGCATTATGGGGTCTCCGACAGCGAAAACTCACATCACGTGTCTCAGATACATTCGTGCGAAGGATAGCGTGCGCACAATCCAAAAACCTGTCAAGATCATGCTGGGGATTTGAATACCCGCAGTGAGTTTCGGTCAGAGTGCTTTTTTCATTACTCCGCAGCTCGCTAAAAACGGGCTAGAAACGTACAACTGCGACACTGCACCACGTGATGTGAGTTTTCGCCGTCGGCGTACCCCATAGAAAGGATATCAGGAGTTGCACACTCTTGGGGGATTATACTCTTGGTACAATGAATGTCAATGTACATGATTGTACCGCATGGGTGCGTGAGTCCCCCCCCCCCACACACACATACTCGCACACCTCTTTTTGGGTGTTATGCCCCATTGCCCCACATCATACTATATTCATAGTACCCAGCGTGCAGGAGAGGTCGCACATGCACACGCACACATGCAGGAGAGGGCTCGCACATGCACACACGTACACCCGCGCGCTACGCACAATCGTTATGTTCAAGGCACAGAGTCTGAGGCTCTGCTCTCACCTGCAGTCCCCTGGCCCGCCTGCAGCACGCCCGCCCCCTGTCCGTATCCGTAGCCTCCAGTGCCATAGGCCTTGGCATGGCAGCTGCGACAGTACAGCTCAGTGCCCTCCTCCGACTTGTGCTCAGCAAAGTTGCTAGAGTCCAGGTTGGTCGAGCAGGTTTGGCATCGGAAGCATTTGCGATGCCAGCTCGTGCTTGCCTGAGTCACCTCCTCGGCGAAGTACACTGCGTCCTGACACACGGGACAGCGGCGGGAGGCGGACATTCTCAGCTTGCTTATGCAGATGCTGCGCGTTTCTACCGTTTTATCCTGCAGGCGACTCTAGCTGTACTGTAGCTGTCCGTGATAATCCGCGCGTGCTTTCGACGTCTTCTATCACTCAACACTAGAACACAAGCCTTGGAGTCACTTGCACGCTCAGTACTACTAGACAGTAGCGTTTCAGCAATGTGCTATCGATCAACAGTAGATCTACTGTGCTGTCGACTACCACTTGCTTACAAGAACAGTCACAGCAGTCAGTGCACGGTAGCGGCAACAGAGAAGCAACTGTTGAGTGTTCGCTTTGCGACGAGATGAAC